TACATGAATGCAGGCAGTTTATGCGAACACAAACGTATGAGCCTGTATTTTTTAGCGAGATAAATTAAGGCAGCGGGCAGTAATAAGAGACGCGATATCTACCAACGACGAATCGGCAACGTTGATCATTCTCAAAAAGCCCTTTTCCCCCGAAGAGGGGAGAACAAGTGGAAAACAAGGCCTGCCGCTGCAGAGAGGCGGGGCTCAGAGGTTGCCGAAGGGTTAGGTGGTGGTGGTGGGGGGCAGCGGTCCCTGTCTGCAGCCGCACGCTGGCTGGAAAGGACATCTCCCTGTGAAATCCCCCCCTCTCTTTCGCACAAGTGTTTGCCAGTGCATGTGCTCTTGTCCCAGGCTACGTGAGAGCGGTCAGCACACTTGAGAGCTGGGGGTCGGTCAGGCCGGGTACTTTCAGGCTCGCAGCCTCGGAGGGGGAGCGGGAGCGACGAAGTCAGCCGGGACCACGACCGGCCTCGCACCCCCTCCCGCTCTTAAGGCACGGAGCCCTCGCTAACCTGCTGTGCTCAGCTATTTTGTGGCATAAGGAAATGCAAATGGCAGCAAGTGATGTGTGAAGATTCCTTCATCCTGCGTTTGGTTCCTCGCAGAAAATGAGTGTGATCCTGGGAAATTTTATACACCCGAGTGCAGGAATAGCTCTGTGCAAAATGAAAGTCCCGTCTCAAAGCTCCATGGGTTTCATCTCTCTCCGCATCACATAGTACTTTCCCTCCAAGATGGGTCACCTCCAGACATAACCCAAAGTTGTCGCTAGCCTTCCGCCTGCCTCTGCCCGCTTTTCCCTGCCTGCCTTTCAGAAGCGTCCAGAAGATCCTCCGACACTCCCACTGCGTTGCCCCCTCGCCCCTGCTACAGCTCCAAGGTGCTCTTTGCCCACCAAACTGTCTCCATCGCTTTCACGGATGGGGGAATTCGTGGCTCTGTGCCGCACGGCAGGAGCTGGGGAGCGGGGAGGACAGGGCAGCTGCGATAGTCCCTCCGGCCGCCGCACATTGTCCGCCCCCCAGACCCACACCTTCCCTACGCCACCTCGAGAAACTCAGCCACCTGACTACATACATGGTGCGGGAGGCTTTTTCCTTTGGGACGAATCAGGGGGCGCTTCTACTTACAAAATACACTGCCATATTAGTAGCCCACCCCATCGAGGAAGGAGAGGGGTTTATCTTCCTTCAAAAAAAAAAAAAAAAAAATCAGTGAAAATCTGCAGCTTCAAAGAGGGGCTGGGGTGTGTGCCGCGTTGGATTTGCCTGGTTTCTTCCTACAATGGAAGAGCGGAGGCATCTGGGGAGCAATGAGCAACAGAAAGGCCTCATGAATGCGGCTCCGAGAGGCAGGAGATGGACACGCCGAGGTGAGCACGGCGGCGCACCGAAGCCCGGCCGGAGGGGTGGGATACCGCAGCGTCGGGACCCTGCTCCCAGCTCCGGGAGGTTGGGCACTCTCTGGCGGTCTCCTCGATCCTGGAAAAGGCCGGAGAAGGCCTTCATGGGAGCGGGGAGACAGGGACCAGCAGCCGCCGCGTCGCCGGTACCGGCCGCGCACTGGGGCTGCTGCCGCCGTACAGGCCATTTGCTGCGGGCAACTCACGCGAGTCGGTTTCGTGGAGAAGAGAGGGCGAGAGAGCCGGGTTTGAGGGAAGGGAAAGGAGGGGGAGCACCTCTGCCTCCCCTCTGCGACGCCGCGGTGTCGGGGGATGCGGGCAGAGACAGTGACCTCCGAAAGACACCGGCTGGCGGCACCCGGGGCTCCGGCCGCGTCGTGCGTGACGGCGCCGCTCAGTCCCTCTCGGCACGAAGGGGAAGGCAAGGAGTGGAAGCCCAGCTTCTGTCTGACCACGGCTCGAATCTCTTGCAGGTTCTCCTGCCCCCAACTCCCACTTTGCTTTTCCCAGCCGGGGGACCCCGTGGTGAGGGCGTGGGTGTGTGCCGGGGCAGCCGCCGGCGGAGCGACCCGCTTCTCAGAGCGAGCCCCCCTGCCTGGGGACGCGTGCCCTTTCCCGGGTGGAGAAGCCCCGACCACCCGCGCCCCTGGCCCTCCTCTCCCTGCCGCCTTTCCCTTCCGATTCTTCAATGATTTCCTACCTGAAAAAATTAATCTTTTTGCCAGACAGGTCAGAAGCGATCAACAGGCTGTTGTATGTTATAATGTTTTCATATTCCTTTCGGCTCCCCCTGCCCTCTACCGACTCACTGTAGATGTGACCTTTGGTATTTCAGTCCACACTCAGCAGTTGAATGGAAACAAGTTGAGCACGTTCACTTCTGATAAACATTATCCTTAAACCACTGGAGACCCGAGCAGAGTAAACGAGCTTTTCCGACAGGACCACATCAGGAACACACATTGAAAAAGGGAAAGAAACCAAATATCCAGGAGATCAGAGGCGGGCTCGAGGGTGGAGGGGTGGGAGAGGAAAGGAGGGGGAACAAACAGGTTGGAGGACACAGCGGAGGGGGGAGAAAAAGACACAACTGTGAACACAATAGGCATAGATGGGAAGAGAAGCTGCCCGGGCAGCGTGGGAGAGCAGCGCAGGGTCACGCCCGAGCATCCCAGCAACCCCGAGAGAGCTTTAGGAGTGTCAAGCGGGTCCAGGAGCGACGGATTCGGGCTTACACTATCCGCGCGTCCGGAGACGGCCCCCGGACACACGCCGCTCGACTGCGCAGGAGCGACGGGAGTCCCGCGTGTGCAGGGTGGCCGGGGCGGCGGGCAAAGTATGCAGGGCAGAGCGGGCGGCGGGCAACCCAGGCCCCACCGGGCTTGGAAGGCACGCCTGCAGGGCAGGCAGCCTTGTCTGTGATCCCGACAAGAGGCTGTGCTTCGACAATAAATACGCTGTTAAAGAGGATCGGAAGTTTTACGGACGCGCACTCCCTTTCATTGTTTAAGTACATAATAACTTAATTAAAGGCTGGATCCGAGTCCCACTAGTTCAATGCCTCCTACCTTAAAAAAAGCCAAAGGAGGTCATCTCACAACTCTGAAAGGAGTTATGGCTTCAGCAAATGCCTGCTAGTACCTCCTGCACAGAATGCCAGAGCTTTCGGACAGTGGCATCTGCGCGGGTATGAGGGGTGTCCGCTTTACCAGAGGTAATTTTATCTAGGTTGAGAAAGCACCACAATTTACTGGTGTGATACTCTGAAAGGGCAACTCACTTTTCTGAAGTAAATACAAAACTGTAAAAGAAAAGTTGCCGTTCTTGTGTAGATTTTTGTTTTGCTTTGTTTTTAAATCCGCGTGGAGAAAACAGAAGTCTCCGCCGATATTCCGATCAAACTAAGAGATACCTGCAAAAGAACCACGATTGTCTTCTTTTCACCACAAAACGCGTGCAACATGCCATCAAATTCTGGGAAATCTCCTGCAACGTCCTATTTGTTCATAGTTAGGAATGCAATATATCATTGCGATATGTGCAGGTTCTGAAATCAAGCTCAGTTATTTCTTTTCATAAAAATATCTTACAACATTTCAATTAAAATATTGTATCAATATACAACGCCTATACACACCAGCGACATAAATTTGGTGGTTTACTTGCTGATATTTCCCATCACCATCTTATTTCTTTTCAAGTTTTATTTAAAGTAGAGAGCCTGTACTTTGAGACTCTACTAAAAAAAAAAAAATAACAAAACCAAAAAATAAAAACAAAGCAGCAAAGACGAATCTCAGCAAAAAAAGTACAGAAAAACGACAAATTCTTAGCTAGAGCTGGGAAGCCCAAGATCTCTTTGTGCAACATAATGTAAGTGGGGCGTATGTAAGAGGCACACACACAAGCTGGGATCTCGATCCGTACACCTAATGCCAAAGCAAACACTTCTTCCATATACACGCCGTGACCCACATATTCTTTATTTCCTGCCATCTTTGTCTCTTTTTCTTTTAATTGCTAATATATATAAGTCCCTTTGATAAAGTCGCAGTCAGCTGCGAGGCGTTGACATTTTACGGTTAAGCGCAGTGCAATATTTACTGTGGGGATGAAAACAATACCGGGGCCGGTCTCCATTGGGCAAGGAGCACCAGACCCGTGTCGGTCTGCAGTGACTGGAGAGCACCAGCATCCTGGTATCGGGCACTACAACACCCGTCCCGTCTCCTCCCACGGCAAAATAAAATACAGCTCGTCTCCCGACCGGTTTGTGATTTCCACAAAAAATGACTCAATTCTCATCCCTCACAGCCTTCTCCCATGAAACATTCGTTAGCGAAAAGGTTGTTTATTATAACGAGACTACCACAAACGAGAAAGAACTCTCCCGCGTCTGCAAACTCAACGCGGGGAAACCGCGTGTGTGTCAAGACATCGCTCTGCTTCAGCCGGGGAAAAGAGGAACCTTTCTGTTAGCCACGAAGCCCCCTCTCCAGCCGCCTCCTCCGGGAGAAGGGCCAGAACAGCGGCGCAGCGGTCCGACGGCTGCCTGGCGCTGCGCTGCTCGCCGACCGTGCCCCGGCCCCGCGGAGCTGCCTGCCAACCCCCTTGGTCCCCGCTGCCCGAGCAGTGCCCTGCCCTGGCGCCAGCCCCCATCAGCTCTGCCCGACGCTGGCGGCACTTCCCGCGCAACTCACCGCCGCAGGTGCGGAACCGCCGTCCCGGCGCGGCGGGCCCAGGTGCCGAGCGCCCTGCGCGGGAGCGGAAGGGCCGCCGCCGCGGCGCTGTCCGTCATCTCCCCTGGCCACTGGGAGGGCGGCTGAGCGGTGGGGCCGCCCCCGGGGGCGGGCTCGGAGGGGGCGGTGGGCCACGGGCCCGGCCCAGGCCGGTCCTGCCCACGCTGCCCTGAGGTTGAAATGCAGAAGTCAAGGCTCTCTCGTCGGGATGCAGATTTTCTTGTAGCCATTCCCCCCCCACACCTTCACGCCCCTGCTTTCTCCTCGGCGGAGATCAGAGAGGCTCGGGGCCAGTGCAGCCGGGAGCGCAGGAGGCTGCGAGCCGGTGGCCGGGCATAGGGATTCGTTGGGATTTAGGGCCGCCCTCGAGGTGCCCCGCTCAGAGGAATGGGTAAGTGTCCGGGAGCCGCAGGAGGGTTCAAGTGCTGTCAAGAGAGGGGGAGCGCCCATGCGTCGTCATCTGCCACCGCCGCGGCTCCCTTATTGACTTTGCTCGTGTTCCTACAAGTTGTAAGAGCACGTTGAGGGTCAGGGGCAGGGGAGAGAGAGCGCTAATGACTACTTGGTTTGTTATTAGTGTTATTAGGCGAGTGTGAGGCAGGATCGGAGCCGAGGGGATGGCTAGAGCCCGTGACACGTTGTATATTATTCCTGACACTGATCATAGTAGTTAACATTTTAGCACGTTTGTTTTACAGCCCAGTGTAATCGTGCTGTTAAGCGAGAGGCGCTAACAGCACCAGGAACAATCTTTAAAAAGTTAGTCGCGATTCAGAAGCACAGCGCTGCCCTCGTCTCTCCCAAGATGTGAAAGAATTTCCTCAACTACTTTTCCGTCCTCCCCCTCCCCCACGTCTTCGAAAATGTTTTTCTTTTCTTTTCGTTCTCTTCGCGTTCCTTTTTCCTGTGGTAATAAAACAGTCTTTTCTGTTGGGGCGATCTCGTTTTTCATCTCTGGAATGTGCCTTTTTTTTTTTTTTTCTTAATTTTCCTGATGATGCACAGTCCAGAGAGCTGCGAAATTTGTTGCCACGGATTTTCTTTCTTTCCTTCTTTTATTCTTTTTTCCTCACTTTTTTTTTTCTTTTTTGTGTTTTTTTTTTCCCTCCCCTTGTATCTATTCCCTTCTTCCCCCCCTTCAATTTCGGGGACATCTCACTGTTATAGGGAAGCGTGCATGGAGTGACCGGGGGGTCCCTGCCTGTGACATCTGTCTATGATGAGGAACGGCTCAGACGCCCCCTTCTGAGCCATTCGCCATGTCCGACAGCTGTGTTTGTGCATTTGCTTGCAGAACCTGCTTTCGGGGAAGTGAACCAGCTCGGAGGGGTGTTTGTCAACGGGAGACCCCTGCCCAATGCCATCAGGTTGCGGATTGTGGAACTGGCACAACTGGGTATCAGACCGTGCGACATTAGCCGGCAGCTCCGCGTTTCTCACGGCTGTGTCAGCAAAATCCTGGCTCGCTACAACGAGACCGGCTCCATCCTACCGGGGGCTATCGGAGGCAGCAAGCCTCGGGTCACCACTCCCACGGTGGTAAAACATATCCGGACCTACAAACAAAGGGATCCGGGCATCTTCGCCTGGGAGATCCGGGATCGCCTGCTGGCCGATGGCGTATGTGACAAGTACAACGTGCCGTCGGTCAGCTCCATCAGCCGCATCCTCCGGAACAAAATCGGGAACCTCTCTCAGCAGAGTCACTACGAGTCCTACAAGCAGCACCAGCCGCCCCCACAGCCTGCTCTGCCCTACAACCACATCTACCCCTATCCCAGCCCCATCGCTGCTGCAGGAGCCAAGGTGTCCACCCCTCCCGGGGTTCCGGCGATCCCCAGCACCATGGCCATGCCCAGGACGTGGCCGTCCTCTCACTCAGTGACGGACATCCTGGGGATCCGGTCCATCACAGACCAAGGTGAGGAGGTGGGGGGGGACCTGGGGCCGCAGAGACAGCCAGATAGGGCCGAAGCGTTTCCGTACCCTGCTCCTGGGCTCCTTCCTCTCCGAGGGTCGGACGGTTGTTATAGTTGTTTCATTCGGGAAACCTCTGGCGTTTTCCCCAGCACAGGCCGGCACTGAGCTTACTGGAGGATGTGTCTCGGAAGGTAGGCAGACCGAAGGTACTGTGATGGGCTGCAGGCGCACCAGCAACCGTCACCGCCGCCGCTCTGGCCCGAGAAGTGGTGACCCTGGCCGGAGAGAACGGCCCGGGTTGCGGCGGCACCGGGGAGCACTCGGTCCGGTCGCGTCCTGGTCCTGACCAAGGCTCGCTGCCGCACTCCAGTCACGGGCGCCGCCTTGGCGTTACCGAGAAGTCCGTTTTCTGTAGTTTTCGCAATCAGGCCAAATTTGCTCCGGCAGGAAGTTCAAATGTCACCTAATTGCTTTCATTCTATGCTGTATTTTCCTCCGAAGCGGTGGTCCAGGAAAACCGAAGCCCCAAGATTTGTCTCTTTTACCCCTTTCACCTTCTTTCTGTTCCTCTGCCTGGAAACTGCGTCGCGTCTCCCGGCCGCTCGCTGTGCCTTGCTGCAAAGAAAGGGACGTTTTTTTCCATTTCGGTCTCTGCCAGTGAACTAACAGTGAAATTGGTTAAAACAACAGTCCAAAATAACCTTCGCCTATAGTCATCTCTGTGTCTCACTCCTTCACAGTTAGTGGAGAGGGTAGGGCTGGGGGCTGTGATTTCTGTTTTCACTGCGTTTTGAACAGCAGCAGTCTCATTCCAGCAACATTTCAAATGCAAAACAATCTTAGGCATTGCAGAATAATTTTCTTTTTATTTCTTTAGAAAAGTGGTATTTTTCAAGCAATATACACACATAAGTATGTTTTATTTATATTCATACATACAAAAAAATATAAGTTTTGTCCTTCTTTGCCCTTCGCAATATAAACTTTATCCTCAGACCACACTGGCACAAAAAATATGCGTGTTTCTGAATTGTCTTTAACAAATACACGCCTGGAAATCCCTGCTCTGTGCTGCGGAGAGGTAGTATTGGCAACGAACATTAAAAAGAATGAGAACATTCTTCTCTCATATGAGAAATGGAGTCTTTTTGGTTTTGTTTTTGTTTTTTTTTTTTTTTTTTTTTTTTTTTTTTTTTAGTTAGTTCCTCTTTTATTAACACCACATTGGTAAGCAGGCTTCTGACTTTGCTGCTGGGTGCCTCGGTATCTGCCCCGTCTCCCTCGGCCCTCGCAGCGGCACACATCTTTCTGCAGTGTGAAATCTCCCCCCTCTCCTTCCCATCAGAGAGCCGGAGCTGCGGAATGGCCAGTGCCGCAGATGGGGGCTGTTCGCCCTTGATTTATAGGATAAACTGACCTTGCTGACACGGAAAGGAAGCCCCTATTCATGGGAAAGTGTGAGATCAGCAGAAAAGGGCGCTCACTGAGAGAGCTCAATTTCTTAAGACAACTTCAGATTTGTGCCTTTCCTCAGCCCGGCGAGGGGCCGATCGAGGTGGTGTCGCGGGAAAGCCCCCTCCCACGGCGGTTCCAATGCGGCCGAGCGCTGGGCTCGGGGGAGGGCTTCCCCCTCCCCCACCCCCGCGCCGGGCTTTACGGTGGGGCTCGGGGAATTTGTCCGCCTGCAAAACATCCCGGTATTCCCTTGCCGCGGCTAATGCGCATGTAAAGAATAGGACTGTTATCTCTTTTCCTCCCTTCTTTCTTATCTTCCTCCTTTCATTTTCCCTTTTATTTAAAAAAAATATTTATTTAAGCTATTTATTTTTGTGTTTTGTTTTCTTGGGGTTTTTTTTTAGTTTTTTTTTTTTCTTTTTTTTTCCCCTCCCCAAATTTGTTTTGAGCCCAGCTTATCTGGACCCGTCTCAGGACTTTTTCTAATAGGAGTATCGTTTATCCTCTGACTTGCATACAAATACCCACTAGGCGAATGCCGTAAATCCTTCTTAGGAGATCCCGGGGGACAAGTGTCTGGCGGCAGCTCCGTCCTGCCAGTGCAGGAACGCGAGAATGAGGGACCCAGCCGGCTCTGGGCTCGCCTGGTGATCGCTGCCACAGAGGGACCCGACTTCTTTCTGCCCATGGATCACCCTCTCCAGAGGCTCCCAGGAGACTCAGAGAGGTGTGGCGGACAAGGGACCGGCTTCTCATTAGCTCTGCCCCGCAGACTGCATCCCGTGGGGAGAGGGAACTGTCTCCATCCCGAGGCAAAACCATCTCCATCTCCCCATCCTGGCCTCTGCATCTAACTCCCTCTTCTCCCCCGCCTTGTTTTCCAGCAGTGAGCGACACTTCGCCTTACCCCAGCCCCAAGGTGGAGGAATGGAGCAGCCTGGGCCGAAACAGCTTCCACCCGCCGGCCCAGCACTCCGTGAACGGGTTGGAGAAGAGCTCCCTTGAGCAGGAGGCCAAGTACAGCCAGGTAAAGAGAGAGGGAGGGATGGGCGGTGATGCACAGGGCCCCTGAGCTCGGCCTCGGGCTACCGCCCTCGGTTTGGAGCCGGTGCCGGAATTCCCTCGGTTTTGATTTGCAAAGACAGGCGACGTCGGGAAAGAGCCTGGCTCTCTCCTCCACTCCTCTCTCCGCTCCCTTCCTCGGCCCGGCGGCCGCGGCGCCCGGCAGCACCCAGCCGGCCTTTATCCCGGCCAGAGGCTCCCGGCGGGCGGAGGGCTGGCGGGGTGTCAGCTCTCCCGTCCCGGCCGCCCCGGGCTGCCCCCGCACAGCAGGCGCTCGAGAACCGCCGCCACCGACCCCCGCGCCGCCTGCCGGGACTCTGCCCCCGCCTCGGCCGGGCCAGCGGGCACGTCCCGCGGTAGCCGCCGCCCTTAAAGCCGCGTGTTGCTCTGTCCTCAGCGTACTCTGTAGGCAGGGGAATAATTTGAAAATGAGGCGTAATTGCTTCCTACATTAAGCATTTTTAAACGCTTAAGTAGACGGCGAATTTCCTACGTTTTAATTACAACACAATATAACTGTTACTTAATAAATCTCTGTCTAAACCTTTGTATTTGCTAATCAAATCCCATGCCAGGAGAAAAGCTGTAAAAGACTCAACTGTTACTCGTTGGGAAAGCACAGGTTTTGAAAACGTTATTTCCGTGCGATGGAAACATCTCAAAACGTATCAGAGGTCTTTCAGACACATTGCCTTCCGGCCACTCAGTTGTTGTGCTTATAATCAAGTTGAGGAAAACCCACGATCCCTGCTTAGCTTTTTACCCATTCAAAGACTGAGGTTTTGGATATATTTTCCGAGTTCTGTGTCTGGTTTTAGATTCCATGTCAAGGAGACTTTTGTAGCTCGTATTTGGTGCTGAGAGTAGCTGAATCATACTCTTTCACGTTCAAGATGTGGATCACAAACTGCGGGAATGCCTGCAAAGAGGTAAATTAGGCAGAGTGAGAAATATTGTAGACCCCAAAAGCGAACAGCCGTTTTATGACACGTAAACAATACACCACCCTTAATACTGTCCTGTTTGTTTTGTATTACATTTTTTTATTATCCCATTATTATTCTGTTAATTTCATATCATATCACAAATAATGCACACTGTAGTATAGTGGTGACTGTATGGTTAAAGATAGGATTAGAGTTAGATTTAGAGTTAATACTCCTTGTTGTACAATTTTCTTTAAAGATGAAAAGAAGTGTTAGTAGTCTTACTAAAAATAATGGAAATAGCTTGTCACTGTTCTGTAAGAACAGCTGTACTGAGACTTCATTGTCTGGGCCTTCTGCACACGATTCTGCTGAAATATTCACAGGATCTTGCTCATAGGCTCTAAACCGTTGCCTCTGTCAGATCTCATTTACCTCAACAGATGCGTTGAGGAACAATGTTATGTAAATCGGGTTATTTTTAATGCTGGTGTTGGAAACTATTTTTTATCTTTTTTTTTTTTTTTTTAATCTTTCAATATATACGATTTAACCTTCATAATATATCAGTGTTCTATTGTCAATACCAGTCTTACATTAATGTTTTGTTCAACCTGAAAGATCATCTGATAAATGTAATTTAAACATACTTGCTATTTTAAAATGGAGCAAATTGCTATTAATAAAATGGAATTCGTTTATCAAAATACATTGTCCAGAGAGTTTAAAAGGGCAGACAAGCCATATTCAGAACCCTGCTCACTAAAAGAAGACACAGAGGAGATTCTCCCCAGCTCCTTCTCTGTAATAATATGTGTAAACATAATTTGGCTTTGGAAAGTTCTAATGTATAGATCAGTCTATTCATGTGGTATTCAGACTTCCTTTCCAGAGAATTCATTCAAACGTGCATTAATTGCTTTTTTTTGTCACAAATTCCTTACTAATTTAGAATGTATCCAGAAAAAAATAATTTCAAATAAGGATAGGACAATGTGACTTTTCTGCATTTTTACCACATTCTTTTAGCCAAAATATTTGTTCCAGCCAATGCAAAATGAAGTTTATGAACCAAATTCTTGCTGCATATAGCACTGACTTACTAGCTGTCCATCAGCTGAAGTGCACTGAGTCTGGGGTGACAGCAAAGACACTGATGTCCCTGAATCTCTGCATGGTCTCCTGCAATGTGTACTGTTTTGGGTGTAAATAACTTAGCTGTGGACAGGAAAGAACATCGGTTCATTTGTGTGAACCTAGCAAAGGGGTATCTGGAATGGTTGTACAAAAATGGGGAAACCTTAGTCATAATTTATATGCCAGAAAGACCACGGTGAAATAGGTTCTGCCTTTGTACTTCAGGGTAAATGCTATTTTCTTCATCTCCTTTGGGCAAAGCTCATTACAAAAGCTGGATCTTCAGGAGGTAGACATCAAATTTCCCCCAGAGAAGAGAAGTGACTGTTCTGTAATATTCCAGTTTTATGTCTATATTACCAACATCAGAGGTGCCTGCAGCAGTAGAGCAGCAGGGAATCAAGTGCGCATGTTTATCTTAGGCTTTCCAATTTCACAACGGGAGCAGATAGAATTTGCTCTGAAGCACATTAACAACATGATTTTGTGTGAGTGATAGGTAATTCTGCTGTTTCCAACAAGTATCATCTACACATTTAAGCATCAGCAACATTCAAAGATTACCTGTCCATAGTTTGCAAATAGCTCCATAACTATTAGGTGAGTGAAAGACTTGTTCCTTAGTCATGGAGGATAGTATTTTGCTTCTCAAGAAATCCTCTGGAAAGTCGCTCTGCACGAGAAAGACTAGAAAAATTGGGACCAAAGAACAAGGTCTTCTGTACTTAAAAAATGTATTTATTTTATCCCTTCTTTCAAATGATGTACATCTGCTTTAAGACATGGGATTCTGTAGGCTTTTTTTATGTAAAAGTCTTATTGACCTCCCAGACTTGTCAAGCGGCAGCCAAGGCTGACCTCTCCAATGTGTTCCTATGACTACATTTCAGTCCTTGCCCCAGAGATCAGTGCGAATGCACCCACAAAAAAGGCAGGAAGACTTCACATTTTTGCCTCAGCAATATGCAGTCGCGCTAGTTTGACATGGAACTGAATCTCTGGATGTAGAACATTTTTCACTTCAAGTATTATGAATTTCCTGGTGTCTCCAGGGCTTTTGTTTGCAATGTTGTTCAGTATTTGGGTTTCAGGAGTTAAAAGCAGACTATGATTCTGTACAAAAGATTTCCCAGGAAATCACAGAGGTGTCTTGTCAACTTTCTGTTCAGTTTTAGTTACCTGATGTCCCAAGTTGTCATTTATACGTAAGCAATTGCATAATTTTCCTTGTGCATCATAGTCACAAATTTGTCATACAGCTTTGCAAACAGGGTGACTGTGAATCAGAGAAACTGAAAAGGAAAATAGATTTTTCTGAGAGCTTGGCAGTTTTGGATCATACACATTTCATACGGAGCTCAGTTATATTGCCGTATTTATATAGAGAGGCACATTCAGTGTGGTGTTGAGCAGCTTCTACACTATTGATACGATGGGTGAATATTCTGAGTATTTTTTGCATTACACAGCTTATACTGAAAGCTGCATTACAAAAAAACCCGCTGAAATGACTGCAACACAAACCCATTTGTAACCTGCATCTGAAATGAAAACACTTAATAAACATATCTCATATTTAAAATGCAGTTTTCAGACATCTGATGTTTGTGACTTTCTGGACTAACATTATGGGTGTGCAAACAGAAAAAATTGTGGTCTGAATTTACACATGTATGAAAATGCAGAAGATCTGACGTATGTCTGTATGACTCGCTGAGAGGTAAATAGCTTGGAAATAATTTATTTTTCAGAGTTACTTTCTGTATGCATTGTGGGAAGCAGATGTGCACATTGCAAAGGGAGCTGATACTCATTAGTGGGAAAAACTTGTAACTGGGGGGTCTAAGAGCAAGTGCTTATTGCAAGCTCACTCCTGGAAATGGTACATTGTTCGTAGGCCTGACTCCAAACCTATTGGAGCTACAGAAAACAATCCTCCTAATTCGGAGTGACTTGTGAACACAGTTTGAGTGAAGTCTTCCTCTGGCATATTGGGCAAAACCCTAAGCAGCAACTACCTCATGTCTGTCTCAGCTGAACTTCATCAGCTGTTAGGGGCTTGACTTTTCAGCTTTGCTGGGATATCATTCCCTGCCCTTTGGCTGTGTTCCGACTGGGGGTCATGAGCTCCACACGCTGTAAGCACGTAAAGGGAAGGCTCCATTCTAGGGCGAGTGATTGCAAATAATTATGGGTGCAATTCTGGACAATTATTTGCACAGAAAATGTAGGCAATGAAGATGTTTAGTTGCTGATTTTGTTCATTTCTAGATGAACAATGAATTGTATATTTGGTGGCCACGCATCTCTAATTGTATCTGCAGTGCTTAGTACTCACAATATATGGTAACTTCTTTGGGAATAAGATGAAAACGTAACCTTAAACGTTATGGCCAATTACATGATCCTCCTACACAGTTTATTTATTGAGAATATTAATTAACAGATTACTTATTTGGCATCCTATATTCTAACTCAGTATCCAGGCAGTTGGATTCTTGCTGTGAGTCTGTGCAAAATCCATCCATGATAGAAGTCTGGACCTACTGCTCCTCAGTCATACCCAAGCGGGAGGAGGGGGGTGAAGCTGTTAAGGACAAATGCTTATTTGCTTTCTTGCTGTAGTAGCTAGCAGCATTGTTAGCAGAATCTGGTGCAGGGGTTCAGACGTTGGCTTGGAGATTGGTTCTGTGTCACTCTCACTAGGATCTCCAGACCAGACCTGTTATTAAAATATTGTCACTAAGGTGGCTTGCTCAAGGTCTAGGCATCCATATCATTGCATGTTGTGGGTGAGGAGGATGAGATGATCCCACTACATGCACCCGATTCCTTCCCAGGTGATCTGGATGGCACCCCATTCGAACCCCATTTGTGAGACCTGCCTCTTACTGGCCACCTG